CAAAGAAAATGTATAGTAAATGATTAGATAATAATTAAAATAATTAAAATTTGTTGTTTTCAGTAAGATTGAAGCAAGTATCTTTTTTATTTTTAAGTAAGAGAATTATTTTTTAATTTATGCTTTTAACGCGCTAAGACGGTAGTATTTTAATTTAAAAGCGATTATTATAATAATAAATTTTGAATTATGTTAGTTTTTTAATAAATTAATAGTCAATATAAGGTTTAGACAACCCAAAATACACCATACTTCAAGAATAATTTCTGGGTTTGGCAGCCGGAGAGCATAAGTACGAAAAGGTATCCCCCAGAAAAGTAACTAGATTTCCCCTAGGATAGTGGTTCCGTAACAGCTATTTTGAAGCCGAAAGAATAACTTTCAAATTAAAAAAATAATTTAAAAATGAAAAGTGTAAATAAAAACATAGCATGTAGCACAACTAATCAATCAACCTTTACTCATATTTCTGGTTATTTTAAGATTAAATGACAACGTGAATTAGCGTGCGTTACTACTTGACTGTTATTTATACAGCTAATTTAGGTACTCTTTTATTTACATGGTTCTGATTTGATGTTTGCTAACCTAAAATAGTCACCTTGCTATCATTTTGATTAATATATCAAAACAAATATGCATTGCATTATCTCTTAATTTAAGAAATTATTAAAAATTCCAAGCTGAAAAACATGAATTTACTGCCTAAGACAGAAGATAAATTTGCTTCTAAAGAATATTGGGACACCTTTTTCAAAAAAAGGGGTGCCAGTGCATTTGAATGGTTTGTGAATGAAATGTTTTCTAGTAGAAGCATATTTTTATATGTTATTACAGGTATGGTGAATATACAGAACTATCGAAACATTTGCACAAATATATCAAGATTTCAGAAAGAATTCTTGTTCTTGGATGTGGAAATTCTTCATTAAGTAGCGATCTTTTTGATGTAGGCTACAGGTATTCTTTATAGCTTATTTAAATTGCATAATTATAAGACTTTATTGCTTGTAGAAATATAATTAGTATTGATATTTCTGAAATTGTTATACATCAAATGAAAAAACTTCATAGTCTGATACGGCCTTCTTTAAAATTTATACATATGGATGCATTAAATATGACCTTTGAGGAGGGAGAGTTTTCCGTTGCCATTGATAAAGGTACTTTGGATGCCCTAATTCCTAAAGAAAGTGCAGATGTTATAGAAAAAGCTACAAAATATTTTAAACAAATTGATAAGGCTATAAAATTTGGTGGTAGATATATTTGTATATCACTTTTACAATCTCATGTATTGAGGACTATTCTTGATTATTTTCCAAGTAAAAGTTGGATGCTTCGAATAATAAGATGCTTTGAGGCTGAAAAGAAGGCTGCAGAAAGTGGACAGAAAGTTTTTCCTGTTTTTATTGTTATTTGTACAAAGTTTAAGAATCTCAATCAAGAGGTTGGTAATGATTCCTTGTACCTATAGTATTGATAATATACTAATAAGGTTTAGAGGATATTAATTATAATTTTTAAGATTTTAGAGTTAAATGTTACAACAAATGAGTCCATAGTAAGGTTAAAAAATACAGAAGAAGTTGCAGGTATTATTCTCAACATACAACAATCTGAATTTATTTCTTATGAAGTAAAAAATTTAAACAAAAAAGAATACAAAGAAATTTCGTTAGACATATACCAAATTGAATGTTACTTTTAAAGCAGGACAAGTATTACTGCTTCACTGGTTTCGATTATCTTTAACTTTCACAAACACAAAATGTAATTATAAAAGAAAAATGTATAACAAATAAAGTGTGTTGAAAACTTTAAATAAAAGGTAGCTGTTACATAAATGGCCTTCACACAAAATCCTTCTTAAAAAAGACAAGTTTCGTTGGAAATTAAATAGGACGTATCAATTTTCTCAAAAATTGCTTACTTAATTACAGTTTTCATTCAATAATATAAAATAAACTTTAGAATTGCCATTGCTTATGTATTTATTGCATTTAATATTCTTTTTTGAGAATAAATACCTTCCGGGTTCTTTTCTCGTAAAACATTTAATGGATTTTAAATTAACTGACAATGTGTAAAAGTGTGTGCAATTTAAACCGCATGTTGACCATCAAAGTTTGTGAATTTCTAATAACCACAGATTATGAAACCGTACTTTTCACAGGTCGATTACTTTGATGCGATACATTTATTACCAATAGGCATATCTCAGTGAAATAATAAGAAAAAATAAAAAAAGTGATGCAAACTAGAAATCTGCAAAATTCGTTTTTTTTTTTCAAGATATTCCAATTAACTACAATAACAACCTCTCCTCTTTCGATTTTGTTGAAGTTTTATTAAGAATATACTGGGTGTTAAGTCCTAAGTTTTTCTCTTTTTTTGTACATGAAATATTTTTAATTTAAATTCANGTATAAACTTTTCTTTGTTATATTCGTCGATAAAATTGCAAAATTAAAAAAAAAAACAACTATATTCATCATTACTACTTATTTCAAAACAAACAGAAGTACAGACCTATTAACAATCATTTTAATGAAAAACAAAGTTACTTAATATTACTAGAAACATCTTTTTAAAATTTTTTGGCCGCTTCCAAACATATAAATGAATTTTCTTTTTGCTATTTCTAGAATGATTTTTTATCTGAATTTCAATTATTTCAAACAAAGTGCAATAAAAGTGCAGTACAGTAAAGTGCCTAATACTTAAAAAATGTACAGTTTATATTGTTTCAAGTTATTTGATTATATACATACAACGATTTACGTAATACGCTTAATTTTGTCCAAGTAAAAAATAGCAATCATTCATTCGAACACGATTTTTGTAAGTACCTAACTAGCTAATGGTGAATTGCTTTTGGAAAGAATTGGAAATTTTAATCACTTTCACTTTATAACATCTGAAACGGAATAATATACAACTTATATAAGATTTTAACAATTGTATTCTAAACACTTTTTGTCTATTCTTTATGTTGTTATCCGAGAAATAAAACATAACATTATCAACAATACAAAAAGTAACTATTAAGCTTTAATAAAATACGTTACTTCCTATGTAGCATATGAAATTTCTCTACTGATGGCGTTTTTTAAAATTTGTTTTTGATTCATTGGTGTTTCAATTTAACATTTTCCTCAAAGTATAAATTGTGAACAAATCCCAAATTTGTTTGAGACTAGAAATGTGGTATACCTATTTCATAATCAAAGCGTTTTTCTTCAAATTAACAGTATACCCATTTACTACGTACCTATGTGCCTTTTTGTCCTCTCGCTCACCATTTGTATACGTTTGTGAGATAATCTTCCACCCGTTATTAAAACCATCGGATCTTTAAATGTCATTAATTTATATGTATTTTAATGGTTATTTTTATCAACTGATTAATCGTTATATCGTAACATTTGTGATACTGGGTCAACTAACTGATGTACCGTGCCTCAACTTAAAATTCTATTGCGATGCTTATTCATATTTTATTAATATCTTCTTTAAGTACAGCTCGACCAACGAATTTATAGCCGCGAGATGAGCACAAGCAGGAAAAAGCAGGAAAGCGAGTAGAGAGTACCCGATATGCTTTTCAGAACCTTCCTGGACTATATGCAGTCAGAGGAACAAATGAACCTGATTTCGATGCCGCCTG